TGGCATGTGGTGCTGGGGGATTGAACCGTGGTCCCTGTGCTTTGCTAAGCTTGTTCTAAGTAGGTGCTTTAGACCACTGAGCCATCTCACCAGCCCCAGTGTTTTTAAATTTAAAAGACACTGAAAGCAGGTTTTTATGAAGGTAGATTATACTGTAAGAATATCCTTTTTGGAGACAGGGCCTTGTATAGTTCAAGCTGGCTTCAACATCACGACAGTCTTCCTGTCTCACCCTCCCAAGTGCTAGGAGATGTGTGCCACCATGCCTGGCAGATCACATAATTCCCCTAACACCTATCACAGCATCTTCCCTTTGTACACAGCAAATGGAGAAAAGTTTAACCTTGTAACTTCATGGTAACTACTGAAAGATTAAATAGATTTCTAAAGCTCTTAACAAATGCCAATGCTTCACGCACTGTCACATGTTTTATACTCTAGATGTGTTCATGAGCCATGTTTTCATTAGAATATATTATGTAAAATAGGTGTTGGTCTGCACTTTCATGTTTGGACTATATCCTGATACAAATTCTTTTGTTTTTTTGGTGGTACCGGGTATTGAACTCAGGACCTTGTGCTTGCCAGTCAAGTGCTTAAGTCTACAGCGCTTATTCTACTGAGCTATCTCCCCGGCCCCAATACAAATTCTTATTAAAAATTTGGTAAGCTCCACATTGATTCTAGGAAAATAATGTGCATTTATAGTGCAAGCAGTGGGAGTCCAGACTTACCACACCACCTGACAGAGGAAAATGTTTCAGTAAGTAAGGCTCTGACCCAAGTCTGCAGGCATCTACTGGCACACTCCACCAGCTTGAAGCACCAGCCTTCCCATCGAGTGGCACAGGACAGTCACACTCGTATGGCCTCAATATGAATGTATTTATAGGACTAAGTAGACCAGGGCTGCAGCTACGCCCGACACCCACCAATGTCCCATCTGTTAAAACCCAACAACATAACACCAGTGTTCAGACCACCTCGTATTCTTCAGGTCTAACAGGCCACAAGTTTGAGATTCTGACTTTACACAGATAATACATGATCAAATTCTTTCCTTTTCAAAACCTGCTGCCCAATCAGTGGAGTCTCATTTTAAAAGAGAAAATTTTATCAGGAGCATCAATAACAAATTTATCAGTTAGTTGGGCTCTTAGACAGTGTCCTAAACATTTACAGAACAGGAAATTATCCCTCTTTAAGACAGGCTGTCACTGGGTGTGGTGGTACATGCCTCTAATCCTAGCACTGGGGAGGCTGAGGCAGGATGATCACTTCAAGTTCCGGGCCAACCTGGGCTACAAAGTGAGTTCAATGCCAGCCTGAACTGCATAGTGAGACTCTGTCTCAAAAAAGCAAAAAAAAA